TCGATACACCCATTGAAAATACTGTATAAAATATGTGTAACAAGACATAAAATATAAAGTTTAAAACATTTTCTAAAAACAGAACTGTGATGATGTCACTAGACTTAGCCATTTTTAAGACCGCAGAACAAAGCCCAAGCACTACACATGTTTTTATGTTTGTTTTTTACAATGAAGTATAATTTTGCCAATTTTTACCATAAAAATGAACTGTTATATGTTTAAGTCACTTAAATAACAGAAAAATAATACAAGAATGTTTTAACTATGTTCTATGGAAAAAATATGCGAATCGAGGGAGTTTCAGCAAAAAAATTTGTACATATGCTCTTCAGAAAAACACTAGAATATTCGGGGTTTTCGCGAATAACATGTTCTAAAGAAAAATCCGCGAATCTGTGAAGCCGCGAATGCTGAAACGCGAATAGGCGGGGACTCACTGTAATGGACTCTTTTTTTTTTTTTTTTTTTTTTTTTAAATTCTATATTAATACGCCAAACATTCCTTTTAGCAGGTACACGTATTCGTGCAACCGTTCCTCTTGATTTAAAAACCGTGAAATTTCTTATTTATTCTTCTCGGAAAAAAACACTAATCATAAACTTAAAATGCTTACCACTTATCGTAGCAACATATAAATTTAGAAATTTCAATTTTTTAAAATATATATGAAAGTTATAATAATGTTAATTCCGCAAGCTAATTATGAGATCTGATAATTTTAATAGTTCTATTTAACGTTTGGCTCTGATGGGCGTTTAGAGACGAAACTCTTGAGTCGGTCAATCATATATCTGATGAACTTTATTTGTTTTATTGGTGATTATTGCTCCAGTTATCTACTAAGTGCTTTTTGGTGGAAGTTCTGTTGGCTTGAAAAATACGTTAAATTCTCGTAAGTTGTACTGTTACTCATGTATAGGTATATTATATAATAATATGTAGAAGGCATAGTATGTATGTATGTATGTATGTTTTTGTATATATATATATATATATATATATATATATATATATATATATATATATAACGGACAGGAAACATATAAAAGAAGCATCAATGGAATCCAATTTTCTCAACAATATGCCGCTAAAATTTACAAACTTATAGAACAGCTGAAATATTGATTGCAACAAAGTTGACAACCTGATATTAACCACAATGACAAAAGTGCGGTAAGGTACTCAATCCTGTAAAACGAGTTATAGACTAGATCGTATGATGAAAATGAAGCAAATTTGCTTCAAATTTATGAGGGGTGATTGATGAGTGAGGCTTCCAATCTTATAAAACAGGCGTCACAAACATGTGGCCCGCGGACAATATTTTCTCGTATGGAACAATTTTCGTGACCATTATTTTTTTCAAAATTTTATAAGTTCAATAAATTTGTCCCTCGCTCCTTCTATACTTTTGCAATGGTAGCATTGAACAAGACCTACCCACCAAGTGCTACCAGACAGCCAATCAATTATAAGGTCATCAAGGTCTGTTCTAGTTCCTCTTCAGTGAAGGCGGTGATGATGATGGTGGTATTGGTAGTGGTGAAGGACTCGATTTTGATGCTGACGTGGGTCAAGTTTTTGCCTCATATTGACACTCGATTTTTTTCTTTTTTTTTTTCCTTTTCTTTTTTGTTTTCCTCTTTTTCTCCTCTTTTTTCTCTTTCTCCTCTCTTTCTCCTCTCTTTTCTTTTTCTCCTCTTTTTTCTTTTTTTCCTCTTTTTTCACCTCTTTTCTCCTCTTTTTTTCTCTTTCCTCTTTTTTCTCCTCTTTTTTTTCTTTCTCTTTTTTCTCTTTTTCCTCTTTTTTTTTCTCCTCTTTTTTCTCTCCTTTTTTTTCTCTCCTCTTTTTTCTCTCTCCTTTTTTTTCTCTCCTCTTTTTTTCTCTCCTCTTTTTTCTCTCTCTTTTTTTTCTTTCTCCTCACTTTCCTCTCTCTCTCTTTTTTCCTCTTTCTCCTCTTTTTCCTCTTTTCCTCTTTTTTCTCTTTTCCTCACTTTCCTCTTTCTCCTCTTTTTTTCTCTTTCTCCTCACTTTCCTCTTTCTCCTCTTTTTTTCTCTTTCTCCTCACTTTCCTCTTTCTCCTCTTTTTTTCTCTTTCTCCTCACTTTCCTCTTTCTCCTCTTTTTTTACTTTCTCCCCTCTTTTTTCTCTTTCTCCTCTCTATTCTTTTTCTCCTTTTTCTCCTCTTTTTTTCTCCTTTTTTCTTTTTTCTCCTTTTTTCTTTTTTCTCCTTTTTTCTTTTTTCTCCTTTTTTCTCTTTTTCTTTTTTTTACTCTTTTTCTTTTTTTTACTCTTTTTCTTTTTTTTACTCTTTTTCTCCTTACTGTTTCCTTCTCTTTTTTCTGTCCTTTTTTTTTCTTTTGTCTCCTCTTCTTTTTTCGTTACTTTTTTCTTTCTCCTTTTTTTCTTTTGTCCTTTTCTGTTTTCTCTCTTTCCTTTTTTCTTTCTTTTTCTTTCCTTTTTTTTTTCTTTTTCTTCCACTCTTTTCCTTACGAACGGACCAGTCAATTTAAGTAGTGCGCAAAAATACCTGCATTTTTCTATGGATTCAGATTTGCAGGTTTTTATTCCTAAACCTTATTAATTGAGAGACCTACTTTTTTTTTCTTGACGTTCGTAAACGTTGAAAAGGTGAATACTTTCGTTTCGATTGTTGAAACTCTCCGAGCCGTCAATAATTTGAGGGTTATCAGGTTCCTAAGAATATTACCGCTCACTATTAACTCCCAATCTCACCCAAGTTATTATATCTGCTTTTAGCTTTGTCAGTATTCACCTCTTTGCAAATTGGATCATTCAGAAGTATATTGTCTTGTAAACACATTTTCTCTGTACTTACCAAATGTTTCACCGTCTCGTTCCTTTTCTATTTTAGCATTTAAATCTCTCATGATAGTAATTTCCGGCGATTTGCATTCAGTCTTGGCATTCACTAGTGTGCTGTAAAACTTATCTATCTCGTTGTTTTGTAGTGTTGGTGCATTTACTACTATGATGAATATATTAAACGGCTTTCTTAGAATTCCGCCAATCTCCCAGAATATATTTCTTCGTGCATTGGTCTAGTATGAGTCTTCTCTTTCACCAGTCGGGTCCGTTAAAATGCAAGTAACCATGGGAAAAGTATGAATCATTCTCCAGCTATGGGTTAAATAGTAAGACTTGTATCTGGAAAAAAGCATTGTTATTCTCGCATTTCTCGTTTGTGGAATTCTTTTCCGGCTTCCTCCTTTCCAGTCAAGTTTGATCTTCATAAATTTAAATGTTACGTCAATTGTCTTCACAATTGTTCTCTCTCCTTAATGTTTTTGTCTCATTCTCTCACACTCGGTAACCCATTGCTTCTTAGATCTTAGTGGCTTCATTACCTTGCTTGGGGTGAAATGATTAAAAATAGTCTTGTCAGTGAATAGACAAATAGCTTATGTCCTTAGAAAATTTTTTTCCTTTTTTTTTTTTTTTAATCACTTGACCTTTCGTGGGGAGGGGTCAAGTGAAAAATGAAAAATTGGTCTGAGACGGTCGTGGATGGGGTGTAGGTGCCTACTGCTACCTGTGGGACTTGTTTTTGGTTAGTACCTACTTAACTCCGCCCTCCCCATTCGACTTGATTGTTGACACAAGTAAACGCACTGATTTGTTAACTGCAAAACATATGAAAAAAGATCCTGATAGCCTCCTCTTTACCTACTCAAACCATTCCTCTACACAACTTGACCTGGGAAAGTACCAACATCTCTCTGGACTTTGAAAGAGAGAATCTGGTCTCATTGGACTCCATCACCTTCTGAGAGACGTATATATTTTTCTTTCTTCTTCGTGTAGTAGACATATTTATATTTTTCTTTCTTCTTCGTGTCGACATGTATATTATATTTTTCTTTCTTCGTACTAATTTTTCTAAGAGGCAATCATCAAAACCTTAAAAGCTGTTTCACAGTCAAGTAGTCAAGTTTCATTACCATTTGGGTGGGTGATAGGAGAATCTATATATTAAAAGAACTGATTCTCTGTCTCTCCCGTACTGTCTCCGTGTTTTTTTTTTTTTTTTTTTTTTTTTTTTTTTTTGTACGCATACAATGTATATTCGTCTGTGCGGTAGTGACTGATATGTCCTCCTGAAATTTAACGTGAACAGATGCCCACACAATTTTACTGAACTTAAAATAAAACATTTGAGTAATACATTCTCCAACTCGGTCTGGACAACCCATACCTTCATCTGAGCAATAAAATCAAAGTTTGAGACTCTGAAAAAAGTTATTTTTTTTAACTCTAAAAATTAAGATAATTATAATATTTTATTGAACTGATCTAAAATTTACACGATTTACATTGTTAGGACTGTTAACCTCATCTTTATTGCCATATCCACGACATTTCGGCCGTTGTACGCTCCGGCCTTCTTCAGGTGATATATGTTGGAATTTCGAACCGAACCTTTTATTTGGTCTACGGAGATAGATTGTTCTAATTCTACATACCATGCCTTCCAACGTATATCATCTGAAGAAGACCAGGGCGTACTACAGCCGAAACATTGTGAATATGGCAATAAAGATGAGGAAAAAAAAGTCCGAATAGTGTAAATAGTTACGATAGCTCATCTCAGAAATATAGATAAATTTACGGGAAATTATTCAGTAACAAATAGATTTTCATTTTTAAAGATGATTTGATTTATTATAGGCGTGTCATTGCACTATATACACAAGCCACCAGTCTACCACTGGGTGGCATGCCACTAGCGTTTACCGCTGCCAGGCCGCCGGCGTGTTCGTTTCGGTAATGTTACCACTGGCGGACTCCTAGAAGCCCACCGGTGTCTGCCACCAGAGGACCGCTGGTGTTGCCATTGTCGACGGGCTACTAGCGGTTTGCGTGTAGGATGAATTAAAATATCTATAGGCAACCGTACATACACACACAATTTCACTGAAATGCTTCTCAGACTAATTTCACTTTCTGCCTGGCAACAACGTCAAAGTAACAGGTTTAGGGCCATATCACGTCGAAACATAGGTTCCGTACAATCACCGAAGTTAAGCAACGTCGAGCCTGGCCAATACCTAGATGGGTGACTGCTTGGAAATACCAAGTGTTGTCAGCTTGAATGTGTGGGTGGTGTAATAGATAACAACTCCGAATTTTAATCGGAGAGCCGAGTTCCAATTCCCGTTGGGTTCGTTATATTCACTTACATGCAAATATCTTTAGAAAAGGTATGAATTCACTTCTCCCCCACCTATGGGTTAGTTAGTAAGACGTATCGCTAAATCATTATTATCTCCTCACCTCTAATTCGTGTAATCTAAAAATATTTTCAGGCTTTAAATAATCTACAAAGGGTTGATAAGCCGTAAAAAAAACGAATCAATAAAAATAAAACAAGGTAACCGGAAAATTAAGTTATTTTTGATTCCTCTGTATAAACTCAATATATTTCTCCAATAAATATGATATTTTGAATTGACAAACCATTTAGATTTGAAATTTGATCACCTTGCCACTAGTGAAGTAACGTGTGCTGAACTAGTTGCTTAAGAGTAAAGATTAAGATGACACTTTGGCACACCAAGTTCCGATATCGTGGTCATATACACCTTGACAATTTACACTTCAAGTAATCTTTTTAACATATACCCACGTTGTGTGCGTATCATTGCACATAAACACCTACAGTTAGCATTTTCTGGTCCATCCTTTGCTATATAACAAACATTTTTCAGTAAATATTTATAATTAAATCTCTAAGCTGAAGGTAGTTTTACGACACATGTCTTACTCTATAGTGGTCATGTAGTGTCAGACAAGGATTTTAAAGATTCTCATAGACTTTAATATCATATTCACGGTCCTGATTATGAATGTTTTTACTGCACATTGCTTAATTTATAATGGTCATGTAGTGCCATACAATGATTTTAAATAGATTATTATAGTCTTTAATAGCATATCCGTGGTCTTGATTCTGAATGTGGTTTTAAGACACATTGGCTCTTATATAATGGTCATTTAGTGCCAAATAACGATTTTTAAATTCTCGATTTTAAGTCTATTTTTCAATGTTCTGATTCTGAATGTGGTTTATGGTACATTGATTGCTATATAATGGTCATGTATGGCATTTTAATCAAAATTCTCCTAGTCTTTAGTTACATCTCCAAGGTTCTGATTCTGAATGTGTTTTTCTTGTATGACACATTGACTGCTCTATAATGGTCATGAGACTTAAGATAAATATTGTTTCTAATGAGATCCAACTTCTACAGCTCTCCTTTCTCTAAATAGGTTCTGTATTTTGATTTATTATTTATTCACAAACATTTGCTGTTCTAAGTAGTATAATCTTTTTTTTTTTCATGGGGTCCTAAAATTCTGCACAATTCTCAATCATTGTATTAAACTAATATTTTTTTATTTTAGTTTTTTTTTCTTTTTTTGACAGTACTTTCAAAACAGTCTAAATCTGTAAATGAAGGTTAAGATAAAAGCGTCAAGTGCTATAACTTGCCCCAAATTAACCTGAGATAATTGAAATCGCAGGTATTCAACTTCTATTGATGGTGACCACTATACCCTGAGGGAAAACCTACCCTGATAAAATATCTGCGTGAGAACTTATTTGCCCTCTATCAGCATGGCTGATGCTCACCTCCTGAATCAGTTGCTAGGTTTGTTGCTAAGGAAGTTTGTTCACCCTAGCGTACCAGACAGTTCTTCACGTCAGAATCCATCTTGCACATTTATAAATCTACCATTCATCCGTGCTTTGAATATGGCTGCCATATCTGGTCCGGGTCTTCTTCTGTATCTCTCTCTCTCTCTCTCTCTCTCTCTCTCTATATATATATATATATATATATATATATATATATATATATATATATATATATATATATATATATATTTTTTCCTACTATCATACAAGTGTTTTCTTTTCTTCAGCTAATTCTCGATAATATCAATTCGGAACATGGCCATAATGTGCTGACCGTATTTAATTTTTTTAAGTAGAGCGATTATACTGAATCAGTTACTAGGTCTGCCGCTAAGAAGGTTGGTTTACCATCTTGCACGTTTATAAATCTATCATTCATTCGGACATTGAATATGGCTGCCATATTTGGTCTGGTGTGTTCGTTGCTTACTAGGTGCTCAACGCTTTCGTCCTTATATCACGTCTAAGATACGCATAGAAAATCATTTTTGGGCACTTCAACATGGTGTAAGTGTTAGTAAGCTTGTCTCGCTAGATCACTTACGACCGAATAGTGAGTTCGACCCTCACTGGTGTAGAATGACACACAAGTAGACTGGTGTAGTTACTTCAAACTGAAATGCATCCCCGAGTCATTTAATAGAGAGATATATGGGTGAATAGAGTCCACTCATGCAAAGGTGTTGGGCAGGTCCATTCCAGCAAAGTGGACCTACGCACCTGCTGCATTAGGTGTTCTCCTATAAATGAGGTAGGTTAGCTGGCTTGCCTTTCCAAGGAGATACAACTGGGTGCTCCATACTTTCCGCCTTGTGCCACACTAAACTACGTTTAGAAAATCACCTTATCTGATCTGATTCTTTGGTTATATATCTCGAGATATTCGATAATAACCAAAGAAGGCTCTGTAATGTTATCGGTCCTGACCAGACATCTCGACTTCAGTCATTTTCCTATCGCCGTGATGTGGCTTCCCTCTGCCTTTTCTAGAAATCTTTTCATTTGAGTTGTTTGAATTCTCTCTCTTCTTTGTACCTTGACCGCATGGATTTTAATATCCTACTAGATTGGTTACTATGTATCATCGTTTTACTTTTGACATTTCCTGTTTAGAATTGGATTTTCTGGTTCTTCTCAAGTCTGCTTAATCTTTGTACTCCTAACGTCTGTGCCTGAACCCTGAAATTTTATTATCTATTTATTTAATTTTTTTTCTCTCATCCATCAATAGGAGTATATAGATTCGCCTATCGTCCAGTTCATACTCCTTCCCTGTTTCTTAAACAGGAGTAGAAGTTTATCCCTTGTTTCCTGTTTAGGATTGGGTTTCCGGTTCCTTCTAAACTTTGCTCCAGCTCTGTACTGCTAACGTTTGTTCTTGCCTACGCTGATATAAGTCCCCATATTAATCCTCTATCTTGAGTGGCTCTTGGGGCTTGGAGTGAACATTAGTATGGAGTGAACATTAGTAAAAATTAAAAAAAAAATGTTCCGATTTCCTGTTTCACTGCCGCTTATGATCTTCAAAAAATTAAATGCAACGTTAGTCACCATCTTCCACATTCCTTACTGTCGTTCTTTTATTGTCCTGTCTCCTCACTAAAGTCTACTGATTCTCTTCCACCCCCAGTAAGCTCATTGCGTCTTAGTGGCATTATCGCCTTGCTCAGGGTGAAATGATTAAAAGAAACTGAACTGAATTCTGCTATAAAGGTTAAGTATAATTGAGCAAGGTCTCTGACAGATGGGTGACCAGATGTTAATCGCGTAGCCAGTCTGACAGTCTTGAAGAGAATGGTATTTTAAACTGTATAAATTTTCTCGGCTCTTTTTTGGTCATTGAAAAAGAAAGGAGATAAATCACTTGAGCACGAGTAGAGAAAGACTTTGTGTCTTGACTTCTAACAGCCATGATGAATTGGAATATTTCGTTAGAGAAGGTAATAAAGGAAAAGGATAAGAAAGGACTAACTATGAATTGTAAGACAAAAATGTGTGGTTGTTAGTAAGAGGAACAATCCAAGATACAAACTACGGATTGGAGATGTCGAAATCAAAGCAACTACGAATATGTAAATATCTTTGAAGTGTTTTAATGGAAAATGTGACATCGAAATCCGAAGTCGGATTGGGATAGCGAAAGTTGCCTTCCCGTAACTGAACAAGATGTTAACAGGAAAATGTTGTTAGAAACAAAGAAAACAGCACTGAACTATGTAATATCGGTCCTCTTATATAGCAATGGATGCTGGACAATATCCTCACAAAACGAGACTCGAGACAAGAAAAATGTGCTTCTACAAAAGGATGTTGAGAATACCATGGACTAAGCATGTGAGTAAAGAGGAAGTTTTCAAAAAGTTATAACGAGAAAGAACGTTTATAAAGTATTACTGAAAAAGAACAGGTTTCGAAAATTTAACAAATATTTCAAATCACAAAGTTGAAAAGTCTAGGATACGTAATGAGAAAAGAGGACTTGGAGAATTTGACACTCACAAGGCATATCGAACAGAGACAAAAGGAAACAAGCGTCTGTAAATGGATGGAGGACTAAAAGGGATGATGAAAACACAAATATTACTAAGAGCTACAAAGGATAGAAAGTTGTGGAGAGCAGTGATCACCCACAAATGTACACGCACATAGAAGCTATGAAACAAATCCGTCAAAAATTCACAATAGTTTCCGACAAAATGTGAAGGGAAAAATTTACATTTGAATCATGATTAGGGATTGGTAGAATTTTTATTTTTATTCTTTTTAATTTTTTATTATTATTATTATTTCTGCCCACGGACATTACGGCTACTCCTTTTTCTGCAAAACCTAACTTTTGGATAGTGAGAAAAAGAATGTTTCAACAAGTCAGCAAAACGATATCTCTGTAGGTGATCAGGAAGGGATTGTCAGTGGTTAGGAATGAATAGAAGTATTAATGATAGAACAGGACTATCATATGTATGGAAATGATTTTACTGTAAGAATGCATTCAAAATCTGGGGAAAAACGATTCTCGGGGGTCTGTATGTAAACATTACTCACATAATTGTTATATTGTATCAGAGAAATGAATTGTAAATGATTTTACTACATTAATGCGTTTAAAACTGAGGAAATATTGCCAGTGTGTGAACAGAGGGAAGCAGGTAACCTCTGCTGATTAAAATAGGACTGTTATGTTTAACGAGCATTTTAGAATTTTTTGTTTGTTTCGTAAAAAACAAGAACAAAACAAAAAATTAAAGTTTTTTTTTTCTTACCAAAAACTCAAATTAATTACCCATGATTCTCTAAAGATATACCCCCCACCTCAGATAAACAACTTTTCTTTGTATATATATTTTTTTTTTTTTTTTTTTGACACTGTTGTTGGCACAGTAACGT